CTAAGTGGAATGTTTGCATTGGTCTTATGCTGTTTTCCCTGGAAAATTTATTGATTTGAATTTGCTATTTTTACTTTATAGCAATTATTGTATTTAATTCTGATAATAGCAGTACTATTATTATTTCCATATAGAAAATTTAAAAAACACGGGTAAAACTGGAATATTATGACATTTGGATTGTAAGGAGTACAATCAGCAATGGAGATCTAACTTTCTTCATCTTGATGTATGCAATAGACTGAAATGTATCCCCCTTAAACTCCTAACTCACAATGTGGAGTGTATGGAGATAGGGTCTTCAGGAGCTAATTAAAGTTAAGTATTATAATAACTATATACAATGAGAGTGGGTACATGAAAGATTGGGGGGGGTCACTTTGTAATGCATATGATTCTCTAACCACTAAGTGTGCACCTGGAAATTATATAAAATAATATTAGATGTCAACTGTAAATGAAAAATAAAATTTAAGAAAAGTTAAGTAGGTTACAATAGTAGGACCCTAATCTGATATGACTGCGAACTTATAAAAAGGGAAAGAGATTTCTCTCTTTCCCTTTCCTGCCTGGTGAGGACACAGTGAGAAGGAGGACGTATACAAGCCAGGAAGAGAGTCCTCACTAGAGACAGAGGGAACTGGCACCTTGACCTTGGACTTCCCAGCCTCCTGAACTGTGAGAAAATAAGTTTTGGTTGTTAAACCACCATCTATGGCATTGTGTATGGCAGCCCTACCTGACTAATAAAATGTACTAATACACACCAAATTGCACAAGGCAAAAATTACAAGAAACATAAGCATAAATAAACAGATAAATTTAACTCATTTATTAGAAATTATATTGGAATTAATAAGTGCAATGTTTACAAAATTAAATAAGGGTGGTGGTAGAGAAAAGACCTATTTCTAATAGTCACAAAAAAGATAAAATAACTAGAAATGTACCTGGTAATATATGTGCAAGATTTATATGTAAAACAACCTTTATTCTTTTACTAAGAAATATAAAACAAGACACTAAACTGCAAGGCCAGATCATCCTTAGAGAGGAGGATAAATGTTGTAAAGATGTCCAAAGATCCTAAATTAATCCTTAAGCCAATAAAATATCAATTTTGTATTTTGGAATATATCAAGAGTGTTTTTGGAACTGTACAAGCTGATTTTAAAAGTCGCCTGGGATAAATTTTAGGTAATAATAAAAACATTTTGGAAACTAGAGTAAAACATATTATTATGCTACAATAATTGAAAGTCTGATAATGAAGCAGAGATAAGCAGACATGAATTAAAAGTATAAATATAGACCCAAATAACTGTGGCAATTTGAAGTAAGATAAATACTGCCTATGTTCCCATACATAGGCTCTGTGATACAATTCAGCCTTTGGACGTAGCGAAAAGAAAAACACCTGGAGGAGGACTGGAGGAGTAAGTACCAGAGGAGACAGCAAGCTTATGAAATGCAACGCTAGCAGGACTTCTCACCGACAGGAAAGGGGCAAAGCACCGGCCATCTCCTGCTTCCCAGACTGTCCCCGGTCTCTGTCTTGCTGAGGATATAACTGGCCTTAAATTTATATCTTAATTATAAATATAACGCATACACATGATAAAAAGTTCAAAGTATGGAAAGCAAACTGTTCTCACACTGGAAGGCTCCAGCCTTAGTCTCCACAACTGCTTCTTCTTTTTTTTTCATTTTAAAATATTTACTCACAGACCCATTGCGTTAAATGTATATTTATGAACTGTCCAGAGACAGTTTTGGTCTTCCTCAGACTCTTGAAAATTTTAAATGATCTGGGCAACTCTTGTGAAGATCAAGTTTTCAAATTCTTTTTTTTTACTGTAATTTTATTTTATTTTTAATTTCTTTATTAAGGTATTACATATGTGTCCTTATCCCCCCATCACCCCCCCCCCCCACTCATGCCCTCACCCCCCTGGTGTCTGTGTCCATTGCTTATATGCATGCATACAAGTCCTTTGGTTGATCTCTCCCCCTTACCCCACCCTCCCCGCCTTCCCTCTGAGGTTTGATGGTCTGATCGATGCTACTCTGCCTCTGGATCTGTTTTTCTTCACCAAGGGCATCCTAGGTCACTTGTGCGCCCAGGCAGTGTTCAGGTAGCAGCAGTCTAGGCCGCAAGCATCCATCTCTCCCTGCCAAGTCGGCTCGGCGATACTCATCCGGTTTCCGCCGGGTTCTGCACCTGGACACGGCGGGCAGGATCTAAACCTTAACTGGCACTTCCACGTGGACTGATTTCACGCGTGACATGGGTGGACTTACACGAGGCCGTTCCCTTTCACAAAAACTCCTGGCTTATATAAAAACTGCGGGCATGCAGTCGATGACCAGTAAACTCAAATGCACTCCAACCAATCTCCCCATTTCCCGGCGTGGGGCCCCCGCGGTTCCGCGTGCAGCGTGGCTGAGGTCAGGCCCAGGCGCTGCCGCCGCGCATTCGGGGCCCGACCCCGCCCCGACGCCAGAGGCCAGGCGGCCGCACACACCGAGCCCCCGGGGCTCCCGCCACGCAGGAGCCGCAGGCGCAGCCAGCACCACCCAAGCGCGGAGCCCAGAAAGCCCACAGCGGCTTCTTAGCCTCTCCTCCGAGCCTTCCTCAGGCCGTGCGCCGGTGTGCGCACTGTTCCCGGGGACATGTTCCCAGACGGTGGGTGGAGCAAACCTTGATGATGGGAATGGACTGAGCGGACAACGCCAGGTAAGGAGAGAAAACGTTCAAGGAGTTGGCTGTAGAGGAGAGCAAACGAAGAGGGAAGCAGAGAAAACAACTCGTTTGTTTGTTTGTTTGTTTTAATAAAAAATTGCTATCTTTCCGTTTTCTAGCAGGAAGGGGCTACCTGGTAGAAAAAAGACTTATCTTCCTGTGCCTTGTAAGTGGTTAGCATCTAAGTTACAGTGGGACTGGAAGAATATTCAGGTAATTTGACTAAATGTGCTCACTTTTAAAAATGATGCCTGCACCTCAAAGGCATTTTACTGAGTCCCATCTGACTGTAGAGGGTGACCTCAACTTTCCCACATTTTGAGGATGGTGTTTTCAAAGGAAGATGCATGTTCCCATTGTACCTCCTTTGCTGCCACCTAGTGACAGTTCTAAGTAACGTAAAGAAGTATAAGAAGCCCAGGTCCAGAATAAGACTTGCATGAGAGTCCTTTGTCCATGCAGTGCCCTCGTGAAGCTGGGGTGTTTCCAACTGAGCCAGAGAAACACCCCAGATATTTAATTCTTCAACAACATAAAATTACTTTGTCTCCCTAACATGGGGAATAAATATAATAGCCATGTACTTCTATTTAGAAGAGGTACTCCTACTACCTGTCAAAAAATTCATATAGGTGTTTATTTATTTACTTATTTATATTGGTTTTAGAGAGGAAGGGAAAGATTAATGTGAGAGAAATATCGATCTGTTGCGTCCCACACACAACCCTGATGGGGATCAAACTCGCAGCCTGGGTATGTACCCTGATCAGGAATAAAACCTGCCAGCTTTGGTGTATGGAACAACACTCCAATCAGCTGAGCCACACTGGCCAGGGCCGTACAGGTTCTTAAATTTCCCTTAGGAACGTATTAGATGGTTCTGGGGAAAAATAGAACTCACCTTTAAATTTATGGAAAGTATTATTTTTGCCGACAATTTCAGATTTGGTTCAATAGCTTCTCTGCCTCTCATGACCTAAGTCAAACAGTAAATTCTAAACAATGTCCCAGACTCTATGCTAAGCTCTCTACCTGCATTATTTCATAACTCCCCCCACAACTCAACCACAAGTATCTTATCCAACTTAAGAACAAAATTCAAATTGACCAGTTGCTAGGTGACCAAGATGCAAACCCAGGTATGCTGCCCTAGGGTTCAAAGTCTTCATCATTAAATCCTGCCTATCCTTATCAAAGATTAGTATTATGTATGCATCTAACTTAGACACTGTCTCACGTAGCACACACTGCCCCCAGTAAATGGGTTATAGCAGTGGTCCTCTAAGGGGGTCCTGGACCAGCATATCACCATCAGCTGGGAGCTGGTTAGAAATAGAAATTATTTGGCCACAGCCCAGACCTACTGGAAAGCAATTCCGGGAGCGGGCCCAGAAATCAATGTTTTAACAAGCCTTCCAGATGATTCTGATGCACACTGAAATTGAGAACCACTGGGTCTCTCACAGTACCCTTTGCTTTACTCATTTACATTCCAATTCCTCTACTTGACTACCCACTTAACCTTAATTCCTTCAAGCTAAGGCTGTCTTGTCCATTTTATTTCTACCACACTTATTAGATTGAATAAATTAATAAAGAATGTGGAAGCCAAAGGTTTTAAATAACATGTCTTATTCATTGGTGTAGGGCAGAAGAAATTCAACAGTATTAAAAAACAAACAAAACTTGGAGCTCCCCTTTCCCTAAATAAAAAATCCAGAGATTGTATAAGGCAGTGATGGTGAACCTTTTGAGCTCGGTGTGTCAGCATTTTGAAAAACCCTAACTTAACTCTGGTGCTGTGTCACATATAGAAATTTTTTGATATTTGCAACCATAGTAAAACAAAGACTTATATTTTTGATATTTATTTTATATATTTAAATGCCATTTAACAAAGAAAAATCAACCAAAAAAATGAGTTCACGTGTCACCTCTGACACGCGTGTCATAGGTTCGCCATTACTGGTATAAGGAGCCAGAGGAATAAAAGGATTCAGCTTGATCAACCTGAGTTATCGTGGAAATTCAGCAGGACATCATACAGGAGTGTAGTCAGAGGCAGTGCTTAGACTCATGTTCCACTTAGTCAATTTCTAGTGGAACATTTCCATTCACAAATCAGTGTAAAGCAGTTGTAATTTCCTCTCTCCTAAAGGGCTCCTAAAAGGAGGAAAAGGCTGCCGTGCCACATGTTGGTTACTACAGGCTACCGGTTTTAGGGCTCTAAGAAGAAATGCAAACCACAAACTGAGAATACATCACACTCTGGAGTATTTGCTTTATTTTTATAGAGAACAGAGTTTATTCAGGATAAAAATGTAAACTATGCAATCTAACAATTTACAAAGGTCTTTCTGTTGCAGGATCCTATGGTTGCTGTCAAAATTGCAAAACTCATTACATTTAAGAAAGTGGTGTTGGTCCAGCCAGAAGTTACTCCAGACACAGAACTGCTACACGCTAATGGTAGGTCCTCAAAACGGCCCTGCTTCCAAGTGCCTTGGCCGATTAACAGGACACCTGCTAAGTGAAGATCAAGTCTTTTGTGAAAGATGACTGCAATTGCCGCATAGTCACACAACACTGTGGATATCCCGTGGATGAAACTATCGCCAGCAAGGCCATCTTCTAAGACCCCACACTAAGTACAAGGCCAGGAGGAAGACAAAGTTCAAGTTTGAGGAAATAAAAAACAGGCAAAACAAGTGATTCTTCCAAAGCTGTGCTTTTAGATGTTGCTTAAATCCTTAAAATAATTTCCCGGGAGAAAAATAAACAAAAGGTGGTAGTATGCAAAATATTCCATTTTTATGAATAATTGTCATTAATAACACTAGAAACTGACATGATTATAAAAGATACCAAAAAAACCAGAATGTTAACATTTAATAGAATTAAAATCTGAGCTGAAGGCTGAACAGAATGTTGGACACAGCACTGTTCTGATGGTAGCTGAGATGTTTGCTAGACTGTAAATAATTAATTTCACTCAGAAATGTTTAACTTAGATTTCAAAATCTAAACATTGAGCTACATTTGGATTAAGTAACTTTTGTTTTAGGTAATTTGCTATTAAAGTTTTCCAAGGGGAAGGCAGGGAGGTGTGTACATTGTAGATTTTTATTAGTAAGTTGAGATTGTTTTGGTTAAATATGGTTTATTTATTCATGTAGGTCTAAAATGCTATCTCAGTTTGTCAGAGCACAAGAGAACATCAAAAGAAGTCAAAGGCATAGAGACGGATAAATCCATCCTAACTTCTAGAAAACAACTGACACAGTGTAACACCATCACAAAGAACTTGTGGCTTCAGTTTTCATTTTGACTTTTAGAGTACCTTTTAATAAGAATTTGGTAAAAAACAGGAAAATTCTACTGATTTAACAGCTGTTCATAAGAAGGAAAGAAATAAAAGAAAGTTAATAGAAAGTGATGGGCCTTAAGAATCGGTGAAAAATCAATACATTTTAATATAGTGAATCTTGAATCATACTTACAAACCGATGATTAATATACTACAAAACTTTACAAACATAAAACTTCATGTTACAGAAGTCCAAAACCAATGGAATTCACTTCTTTTCCTTTTTAATTATTCCTTCAACAGAAAGTCTTAAAACCGAAGTTAATGAAATTCCTACATTTTTATACATGTCATTAAAACAGGATTGTTCTTGTCAAAATTACGCAGGGAACACTTTCAAATAAGGTCAAGAATTTTATATTCTCGAAAAAAATGTTCTTAGTTCTCTGTACTCCAGGTTACAGAAATGAGAACAGTGGGAACCAGGTAATTTCTTTCCACCCGCCCATGTCATTAAACCCCGTGTTTCAATGTCTCCATGCTAGGGAAGGACACACAGTGTTTAAGTGCTCTATTACAAAGTATCTCCAGTTCTGAGACAGCTTTTCCTTTTCCTTTTGTTTTTAAGACAGGGCTGAAACAGTGCCCTTACTTAGCGGAGGCGAGCCACCGACTTCCTTTTTGTGCCAGTTTTCCAAGATACTAAGTGAGTTTTTGCCCTAATGTTTTTGCCTGGAGTTTTGCGCGGCTTCTCTTTGTGCACCTTCATGTGCTGCCTGAGGTGAGAGCTCTGGCTGAAGCATTTGCCACATTCACTGCACTGGTAGGGCTTCTCCCCCGTGTGGGTTCTCTGATGCTGAATAAGGTGGGAGCTCTGGCTGAAACATCGGCCGCACTGATCGCACTGATAGGGTTTTTCTCCGGTGTGAATTCTCTGGTGCTGAATGAGATTTGAGCTCTGTTTAAACCTTTCTCCACACTCATCACATTTATAGGGCTTTTCCCCAGTATGGATCCGTCGATGCTGTATGAGATTAGAACTCTGGAAGAAACTTTTCCCACAATCGGCACATTTATGGGATTTCTTTCCAGTATGGATCTTCTGGTGTTGAAAAAGGGTCGAGCTCTGACTGAAACTTTTTTCACATTGTGTACATTTATACGGCTTCTCATCCAAGATTCTCCTCCGTCTGTTCAAGCTTGAGTCAAACCGAATAGCCATTCCCCGTTTCTGCCGCTGCCAGCTTTTCTTGCGCTGGTTCTCAGAGGTCTTTCCTTGGCTTGCGCTCCGAGAAATACCTCCCTTCAGTTTTCCTAACCGCATTGTGAGAGCCAAATGTATTCTTAACAGAGTCCACTTGCTTCTTCTGAACTAACGTTTCTCTTCCTAGAGCTACAGAGCTCAGAATTTTCTGGGTGTAGAAGAAAAAACAAAAATAAATTACAGATGATTTGTTAATTATTCAACTTGATACCTCTTTAGATCCGTCAAAATTGCTTCCATTTTTAAATTTAAAAAGTATTCAATACATATGAAAACAAAAACAATTCTGGGGAAAAATACTTACAAAGTAATTTTAATAATTCCAGAGTTTAAACTTAGTATTAGCAAGTAAATATCATTATGTTTTAATATTTACTCCCATGTTAAATGTCTCACTGTTGGCTATCTAATTAAGGAGTCCAAATTAAAGAAATGACAAATCATGCTTTTATTAACTACAGAATGCCTCAAAATGTATACACACTTTAACAGCTAAAAGCACAATTTTGAAAATGAGATGTATTTTAATAAACACTGCCTTTATATTTAAAGTATGTGTGTACATTTTTTGGGACACCTATATTTGCCCTTATTCATTTAGCCATTCTACTTTCACAGCTATAGATAACAACTTTGCTCTAGCTTTCAGCGTAAACTGTTTTGAAAGTAGGAACTACTCTATAAGGAGTAGTAAGTTTCTGTGAGTTAATTTAACAAATGCTGGATGAGAATAATGTCAATAAAGAGATGCTTTATTTTTTTTCTAGATTTGAATGATCAAAGAGGACAATTCTTTGAAAACTTGAGGATTGTGTTTTGAAAGAGAAAGATTTTTAAAGAACTTTTACAGGATAGTGAAACAGTAGAAAAAAGGGTGCAGAGAAGAAAGTTTACATATAAAAATAGGACTGGAATTTAAAAAATACCCAAATGCCAAATAAACTCAAAATTTCAAATAAATCAATTTATTTACATATAAAGTTATGTAAACTCCAAGTAGGTGAAAATGTACAAGAAGCTAGGCTGCAAAAATATTAAAATTATTGGAACTATTTTCCACATCAGATGTCAGGAAGTAGACTTTGAAAAATTAGGCTGGGTCCTTGCAAACAGGCTTCTAAAGCAAATAATGAAAACACCAATGACATCAGTGTTCCGCCGTCCCTTCATCCTATTGTATAACTGAGAGTTCGGGCTTGATAGCGCTGGGGGATTTATCTGGATATTTAACAATATCTGCTGCAAGTATGGTAAGTATCAGAGAGAGCAAACTGCATTCAAAACAAAATCACAGCGATATGGCTACTCATTCTTTAACTGTAGTAAATATTTATAGTATAGAACACCTATTACAAGGAGACATTTATTAGGGTCCATGGTTCTGGAGTTCAAAAAAACAGCTATAAGCCCGAGGGCAGCGCCCGCTGCTCTGGGAACCGCTAACAGGACTGCGCCCGTTTTCATGCCTGAACCGGGAGGACACTGCAGCAGCCAGGCCACCAGCGGTTAGCCTCTGTGGTTCTCAACCTTCCTAATGCCGCGACCCTTTCATACAGTTCCTCATGTGGTGGTGACCCCCAACCATAAAATTATTTTCGTTGCTACTTCATAACTGTAATTTTGCTACTGTTATGAATCGTCATGTAAATATCTGATATGCAGGATGTATTTTCATTGTTACAAATTGAACATAATTAAAGCATAGTGATTAATCACAAAAACAACGTGTAATTATATGTTTTCCGATGGTCTTAGGCGACCCCTGTGAAGGGGTCGTTGGACTCCTTTGGGGGTCGCGACCCACAGGCTGAGAACCGCTGGGTCAAAGGCTGAGAGTCCATGTCGGGGCTCCTCAGAGCAGCGCGGTGCTACCCGGACCTCGCGGGGCGACAGAGGCACAGGAAGCAGCCCGCCGCCTCGGCCCGGTGCAGGCCCCTTAGGGCCTCCGGCTCCCCGGGCCTCCGCCCCCGCCATCCCCAGCCCGCCCAGGCCCACTAACCCCTACCTCCCCCAGCCCCCGGGGCCTG